GACCAAAGCAGAATAGAGTGCTACTATTACTTCCCTTGATCTAGACACCATACATTTATTGATGCAGTCAAGACCCACATTGGCCTTTTTAGTTCCTGCATCACACTGTTGACTCATGTTCAACATATGGTCTACTAGGACTCCTAGATCCCTTTCACATGTACTTGATCAAATGGAAGAAAGGCATTGGTGCAAAAGCAAGCAAGCCTCAGAGTAGATCAGGACATAAAAATGAGTTAGAATTAAAATTATTCTAAGACCACTGGCAGCTGAGATATCACAATCTGGTGAAATCCTTTTCTAAACACTATCATACAAACACCACCACTGCTAAGATTTTCATTGGTTTCCTCATTTAGATTTTTTTAAAAAGAGAAGAACAAGGGACACAACAGAGAATAGGAGACAGAAAAGAGAGAACAAAGAGAGGAGAAGATGGACTTACAGAGTAAATACTGTCAGTCCCATATTGCAGTTTGGTGTTAAAAATATACTGGCTATCCAAAGATGGAAGATAATTTCCTTAGAAATCTAATCAGGGTTACATACAGTCTATAAACAAAACAAAACAAAACAAAACAAAACAAAAACTTCTGTCTTCCGTGGCAAGGAAAAGCAAATTCTGTAAGCCAAACAGCTTAGGCTAAACAGTTTTGGTACAGAGCCGGCCCTCCATATCCATGGAATTTTTATCTGTGGATTCATGCATCCACAGTTTGAAAATATTCAAAAATATATATATCCCCAAAAGCAAAGCTTGATTTTGCCATTTTATATAAGGATCACCATTTTACTACTAATTGTATTTAATGGGGTTTGGCCAACCATGGATTCTGGTATCTGTGGGGGGACCCAGCAGATACCAAGGGCCCACTGTACTTGCTTATGTGCTCTATGAATTATTATACTTCTGTTATCCAAAGAAAGGACAAAGAAACTGAGGTAAGCAGTGTGCCCCCATTCCATGACAACTAGATCCAGCCACATTGTGGCTTGTGAGATTTAGGCAAGCCTAAACATTTGGAAGCAAATACCTACAGCTTAAAAGTTGGCCATTTAAATAAATAAATAAATAAAATTTATTATTATTATTATTATCATTATCATTATCATTATCATTTGCAAGAAAAATGAAAATTCTCAAGATGCTGAATTCTTTCGCTTGACCTCTCTTGCAGGTATGAACCTCAGAAGCACAGGAACACCAAGAGCCCCATATTGCCTCCTAGATTTATAATGGAGGGCATGCATTCAAGCTTACCCAACAGAGAAGCAACAACCTAAGAGCAGTAACCACTGGTAAGAACTACTTATAAGGGTGATGGAATTTAACAGCCATTGCCAGCAAGGGGAGATGACAAATTATAGCAACAAACAAGGTCAGGTCTGTGGTAGCTCCTTTCAGTCTTTCCACAGCCTCACTCCTGCTGCTGGCCTTCACATGGGCAGAAGTTTCCCCAGACCAACGGTGAGAAGAAAACTCACCTAGATCAATAAATAAACAGAACCTCTTCCCTGTGCTTCTTAGTTATGAGGTGGCAGAGCTACTGAACAGCACGGGCGAGTGTGTGGGGAACAGCTCTTTTACATTTAACTTTACATTAATTGGTTTATACGCTCCCCCGTGCTGCTGTTTTCCATGGAAAGATCAGTTCTGTTAATTTTGGCTGAGTCCTGGCACTATTTTTAGGTGTTTTAAAAACACCCAGGGAGGTACCTCACACTTTTACATAACAAACGTTGGGTTATTTTTTATTTAGGGGAGAAAATGTTTTCTTGAAAATGTGAAAGTGAGCCATAATTTATTTTCTAACTCAGGCTAGATCTTATACCTACCTGTGATAAATATTATCACAGCCGCATGCCAGAGGGCACAGTCCACTGAGCTTAGCTGATGACTGACCTCACAGTGGGCTTCTACCCCAAGACTAGGCGACTGCTACTTATAGTCTCGAAAGCAGTATCTGATGTGGCAACCAGCAAAGGAGAGGTTTAAAAAGCATGTTTTAATGACACCCATGGGCAGCTGCTTACAGCTATATGTCTGAACTAGTACAGTATTGGCAAATTTTGGAATCCAGGCAGTCATAAATCCCCATGCTTAGCAGCTGTGTTGTTCCATGTCACCAAACCAGTTAGTGCACTTTCAATCTCCTCCAGAAATGTCAGGGTTTGGTAAAGTCAGTAAGTTGGAGCTGCGCATTCAAGGCCAAAAACATCACATGTTACTTTCACATCACAAGGAATATAGTTGGCTCTACCTATGCATGGATTCTTTATCCACAGATTCAGTGATCCACAGCTTGGAAAATATTCTCTCTCTCTCTCTCTCTCTCTCTCTCTCTCTATATATATATATATATATATTCCTGAAAGCAAACCTTGGTTGTTTTTGTTTTGTTTTGTTTTTTCATTTTATGTAAGGGACACATAGAATCATTGAGTTGGAAGAGACCACAAGGGCCATTGAGTCCAACCCCCTGCCATGCAGCAATACACAATCACAACACTCCTGACAGATGGCCATCCAGCCTCTGTTTAAAGACCTCCAAAGAAGGAGATTCTACCACTTTCCACCACTGTCAAACAGCTTTTACTGTCAGGAAGCTCTTCCCAATGTTTAGGTGGAATCTCTTTTCCTATAGTTTGCATCCATTGCTCCGAGTCCTATTCTCTGGAGCAGCAGAAAA